GCTGCCGCCTCCAGCCGCACAGAGGCCCTGCCGGGTCCCCACCGAACCTGGCCTGTCATCGCCCCGCCCCGCAGACACAGGGCTGCCCTGCCCAGGGTCCCCCTGCACTCGCTGGGCCCTCACTGGCCGCTGCCTGCGTCCACCCCACAACTTCAACACAGGCCCGTGCTGGCCGCTCCCAAGCCCGGTCCCCACCAGGCCTCTCTGCTCCCCAGTTTCCACCACAGCCCCCAAGCTGGTGCCAGAGCTGAGGTCGCTTCCCTGTTACCTCCCAACCTTCCCTGTCCCCTGGTACCAGGCACCGGGCCCCGCCTCACTCCATACTGGGTCAACCACGCGGGCCTTCACCACTGCGGGGGCGCCGGGACCAGGGCAGCCGCCCCCCCCAGCACGCCCCTCAGTACGCAAAGTCCCCCGTCTGAGTGCAAACCCCACTAGGCCGAGCGCCCGCTTGCATTCCCCCTGCTTCCCATTTCTCCTAGGACCCCCGAGTTCAGTCCGGTTCACCCCGCTCCTCTCTGATCTCCGAGAGCTCGGGTACCCGCAGGCCTGAGCTTCCCGGGTGCCGCCAGGTCTTGGCACACGCAGTCACCCCCACCGCGACGCCCTTCCACTTCCCCGAGAACACCGCCCATCTTTCTATCGCACCCCTGATGCCCCCGCCCCCCAGACCCTCAGCTTTCTCCGGCCCTCTTGCCCAGAGAAGGAGAGGGTGCACCCCCAGTCTCTGCCCCCTGAGCCTGCTCCCCTCACCCCCGGAGGGAACCGAGTCCACCCGCGTCAGGAGTGTTCAAAGGGCTGCATTTTCCCTCCGTTCCGCGCTCGGGAAAGGCGGGGGTTTGCGCCGCGAAGTCTCTTAGCGCAGCATGGAAAGAGGGGAGCCCTGCGCGGGGCGCTATTGCGGCTCGGCGCCGCCAGGTGGCGCGCTGGTTGTGGGGACCAGACCAGGCAGCCTTGAGGACACCCTGGGGATGCTGAGCGAGCCCAGCGACTAGGAAAGGGGTCTCTCTCCATGCGGACACCCGGTTCCAGGCTGGCTCTGGTGGCCACAGAGCACCAACGCAGAGCTGGCCGCCGTGTGCCCTGGGATGACTTGGGACGCCCCCTGTGCAACTTACCGCTCCGCATAGCTTCCAAATGGACCAAGCCTTTCGCGGGGGAAGGGGAGCCGTCGTCGTTGGGGAACTTCAAAGCGCTCGCTTTGCCCTGCAGGGCCTGCGGAGACAGCCAGACAGCCGTGGCCCACCCTCCTAGGGTCCGGGCCACGTGAGCCCAAGCACCGAGGTCCTGCAGCCTCTCACAGCCCTGCTCCCAGACCTCCCAGCAGCCCCCCTGCACTGCTGGCCTGCGCTGTTGCAGCAGCTCCTTGCTCCTCACTTTGTTGTGTCCACACAGCAGCCAGGGGGATGCGGTCAGAATCCAAACTCCATCCTGTCACTTGGCAGAGCGAACCCTCCGGTGGTGCCCCCTCACTGGGAGTACAAATCAATATCTCCACGTGGGCTGCAGGGACTGCGTGCCCTCCCCGCCCTCCTTCAGCTCCAGACACACCGCTGCCTCGCTGCACCCCAACACACCAACAAGCTATGCTTGTCCCCCTCTGCCCAAATGTCCCCAGGGGCCAGGCCAGCCCTGCCAGCCCTAGGTGCGTCAGCACCTGGCATCCCAAATACTCACTTTTCTATTTGTATATTGGGCCAGGGACTCTGGGGGTTATCACATACTTGCTCTGAATGGACACCACTGGGGCCTCTGAGTACCACCATGTCAACGTGGAGGCTTGGGGAGTAAGTTTGGCCCAAGTCCATCTCATAGTGGGGCCAGAGGGCCCCAGGACCTGTCCTGGGTTGCCTCCCCCATTCCTGAATGCACTAAAGTTAGACAGACTTGGTCACTAGCGTCATCTCCACATCAGCTCCCAGAGCTCTCCCACACCAAGCAACTCCCCGAGTCTAGGTGAACACTGACTGAGTGCCCTATGAACCTAACCGTCTACATGCAATGGCATCAGACATCATAGACCGAGGACTCAGTCCCCTGAGACTATGCCATCGCAGATGCCAACTCCATGTGCAGGCTGTCACCTGTGCTTCTGACTGAGGCGACGATCGGGGTTCCCATGCCCCCTGCTTGGATTTGATAATTTGCCAGAACGACTCACAAAGCTCAGGGAAACACTTACCTGTTTCTTACAATGGACACCGATGAACAGCCAGATGAGAGGTCCACAGAGTGAGGTCTGGAAGGGTCCCAAGCATAGGCGCTTCCGTCTCCATGTAACTGGGGGGTGTTACCCTCCTGAGTCATGGATGTGTTTGCCAACCACCAAGCTCATCAAACCTTGTTCTTCAGTTTTATGGCGCTTCATCTCCAGCACCCACCCCATCCCCAGAAGTCCAACCCTCTACTCACGTGGTCTTTCTGGAGATAGCCCCATCTAGAAGCTATCAAGGGGCCCCACCCTATGTCACCTCATTAGCATAAAGGCAGGTATTATTAAAAAGGGCTCCTTACAGATAACAAGACACTCCTGATACTCAGGAAATTCCCAGGGTTTTAGGAGCTCTGTGCCTGGAACTGGCGACAAAGACCAAACCTCTTTCTGACTATGCCATGGGCGGGAAGGGCCAAGCAGCACTCCGACCTTGCCAAAAGTGTAACCCAACGACACATTACATCCCTCAGGGAACTGAAAGTAGTGTCCCGTGAAAGACTTGAATAACAGGGGTGGCAACTCTGAATAATGGTGCCCCAAAGAGGTCCATGTACTAATCCTTGGAACCCTGGAAGCTGTGAATATGGGGCCTCACATGATAAATGGGACTTTGCAGATGTGGTTAAAGTAAGGGTCAGCCCTACCGACACCTGACCTCGAAATTCTGGCCTCCAGAACTTCCAGAGAATAATTTCTTGTTGCGAACCACCCAACTTATGTCACTTTGTTACAACAGCCCTAGAGAACTAACTCAGAAGCAGTGACCGACTTCTGAAGTGTAGAGGGCGGTGGGCAGTATGGCCCTCAGCCCCAGAGCATGGGCCCTGTCCCAGGGCCTGTTCATTACAGTCCCCTGCCCTGGCCCTCCTCCCACACAGGGGATATGCCCCTCACAGCCTAACCCCTTCCCTTCTCTACCATGCTCTGGGAACCTGAAACCCCAGAATTCCTGCCCAAATATCCTGAGCCTGCTTGCACTGCTTGTTCAGACTCCGCCCCAGGTCTGGTCTAGGTGGGACACCATGCTGGTCTGTTGCACGGCCACTTGTGCAACAGAGTGAAATGCTTGGCCTCTCCGACTCTCTCTTGTTCAGGCTTGCTTGGTGTCCATGGCCTTCAAGCTAGTATCTCCTGCTTAGTCTTGCACACAGACACACCAGTCCTCAGAGGAATTCTGCTCATGGCTTGAGTTTTACAGAAACAGCCCCTTACCAGAAAGTGCCTCTCCCAAGGAGACAGGCAAGTATGTATAAAAATCATGATTGTTTATCAAAGATATGCAGGAACCTCATGACCAGACACACATCAACTAGAGTCAACAGGCTAAGAACAAGGAAGTTTCACAGTCCTCCTCGGACCCCTGCTGGTGCCCAGATGTCAGCAGTGGTCAGTCACCTCTTGCCCCTCCATGTCCCCTTCCCTTGACATAAAAGAAGCCTGAACATACTTTCTTAAGATGGACTTGAGGTATCACAAGGGCTCCCATCTTCCTGCCTCCTCCAGCTGCTGGTGGCAGCTGCCGGTGCTACATTCCTTGGCTTGTGGCTGCAGCACTTTAGTCTCTGCCTCTGTTGTCACATGGTGTTCTCCACTGTTGTCTGTCTGTATGTATGTGCGTGTGTGTGTCCAAATTCCCATCTTCTTATAAGGACACCAGTCGTATAGGATTCAGGCCCACCCTCACAACCTCATCCTAACTTGATGACACCTATAAAGACCCTATTTCCAAATAAGGTCACATTCATAGGTAGCAGGGCTTAGGACTTCAACACAGCATTTGGGAGACACAATCCAGCCCATAACCACCTCGGATAACAGAATCCACTCTAGCTTGTTTAAGCAGATAGGGATTTATAAGGAGCTATAAGATGACTCACAGAGCAGGCTAAGCTTCCGGGAACAGTGCGCAGACACCCCCCCCCACCCCCGTCAGACAGGTCTGGGTGAGGGATCTGCTGTCCCCACCAAACCCGGAGCCACTCTCTGCAGCAGCAGGAAGCTGACACCGTTCCAGCCCGGCAGTACGCTGCCTTTGCTGGGAGCAGATCCAGCTGAGCCCAGATGTCCTGGTGTCGCAGCCCCATAACACGGCAGGTCCGCCGCCTGCCCCTGCTGGCGAGGGGAGGCCGGCCAACGGCGTCCTTCTGAATTCTAACTGGGAAAGAGGACTCACGATGTGGGAACTATCAAAAGGCAGAAAGGATATTCAAAACTGCTGGGCAGCCACCGCGATAGGTGTCCACCGCAGCCCTTAACTCTGTTCTCCCCTCACCCCCATGCTGAGAGCCCACCTCCCTAACTGTGCTGAATAGCCTTGGGTGTGTGACACGGTTCTGGCCAGCGAGATGTCGCCGGAAGCCGACTGGGGAGCTCCTCAGGCCCTGCTGTCCACACTGGGTGGCCGCAGGGCGCTTGAGGATGGTGTGTTCGTGCCTCCAATGTTAAGTAACAGTGCCAGGCACTGATGGACCCTCCAAGAAAGACAGGGTCCCCATCCTCAGGTCGCCGCCGCCCAGCAAGGAGGCGCACAGGGAAGTCCAACAGGTATATCCCACGGGTAAGTCAGCGCCGAGGTCCAGCGAACGGCTGTGCCTCATTCGTTCAGTGACTCCCATCGAGCGTGCAGGATGCCGGCACCGCGGGCAGCCCCGTGGACACAGGGAGCCGACGGCACGGTCCGCTCCTCCAGGAGCGCACACGGGGGCCTCAGGCCACACGTGACCCGACCACCCAGCGCTGCGGGGCGGAACCAGCGGCCCCGGCTCGCGTTTCCGGGGGGGACACACGGAGCGGGACGCGCGCCGCCCCACGTGACTCGAGCACGCGGGAGGGGGAGCCGAGCGTGCGCCGCCGGCCGGCGGCTTCCGGGTAAGTGGGGGTGGGGGAGGAGAGTGGCGGCTGCCCACCCGCTGGCCCGGAAGGCGCGCTGTCTCCGCGGTCGGCCGTGCGGGGCGCTTTCTCCCGCCGCCCGCCTTTCGCCGCCGCCCGTCTCGCTGCGGCGTCAAGTCGGGGAGGGCAGGACGTGACGAGGTGTCTTTCTAGAAACGCCCCCGGGGGGCATCAAAGAAACGGGCGGGTCTTAGTAGAGCGTGAGGAGGGGGGCGTGTCGCCTGGGACCCGAGGTGCCCCGGGTTTTCGGACCCCAGTCCCGGTCCCCAACCCCTGCTCTTCCGGCCGCCCCGCCAGGGATGACTGAGCCGGGCATGAAAGCGCCGAGCCCGAAGGTCCAAGGCTGGTGACGCCAGTCCTTCCGAAGCCGAAGCTCGGGGCGGGAGCTGGGCCGTGCGGTCGGCGGGAAGGCTGGGGCTGGACCCCTCGGGCGAGCGGCGTGGACGGCCTTCCGATCGCATGAGAACCGGTGGGGGAGTCCCCGCGCGCAGGGGACAGGCTCTATTCATGCCGTTATTAGACCACCCCGTAACTGTTCGGAGGGTGACTCGGTGTTGGCCCTGGAGGTGGAAACACCAAGATATATTCTGCAGGCAGAAACCACAGGACTTTCTGTGGGACGTGGGGAGTGAGGTGGAGGAAAGATGCAAGGGTGCCGTCCAGGCTCCCAGCGTGGACACAGGCTCGCAGGGGCTTTTATCCACTGAGTGGGGGCAGCCGGGCGAGGAAGGGGTTTGTGGGGGGAAATGGCATTTCACTGTGTGCTCCTGGAAGGTTCTCGGGTGTGTGGAGGTGTCGCATGTGCGAGTGGAGTCAGGGGAGCTCAGGCAGGCAGCATCCGTTTAGGAGGCTCCGGCGAAAGGTGGCACCTGTCACGATGGAAAGACACTGAGGAATGGGCATTCACGGGAGAGAGCCGGGCTGAGGCTGAGGCGTGCCAGTGAGCACAGGAGCGACCCACCCGGGAGGTGAATAACAGCCAGTGAGGTAGAACCGCGGGAGACGTGCGTCGGAAGGAGGGAGTCAGCTGAGCAAAATGCTGCTGAAAAATCGAAGGGGGGTAAGATGATGTGAGGGCCTAGTGAAACTGGTTTCTTGAGCAGTTTCGGTGGAGTAGCGGGAGAGAAGGTGTGTCGGAGTGGATGGCAGAGTCAGTAGCTTTTCCCCTTGAACTAGATGCGTTCAGTCTTGAGTTCACGTGGAAAATGAACGAGCAAAAATGGTTAAGAAAACTCTGAAAAAAGAAGAGGAATGAGAGCACTAGCCCCGCCAGAGAGCGTAACACGTTCTGAAGTTGCATGCAGCACAGCTGTGCGGCGGCTGCGGGGAGGGGGTGGGCGGGGCAGAGGGAGGGGGAGTTCATGCCATCGGGGTTGCTCTCTGGCCAGGGAGGGTGAAGATGGACAGTTTTAGTAAATCTGAGTAATGGTAAAGTTAGGCCCATAGCCTGGTCACAACCAGTTAAAGCTAAAATGATCAAAAGTGTAAATGTCAAAGAAGTGAAACCATAAAAAAAAAAGAAAAAAATGGTGAGTTCCTTAACACTGGAGTGGAAGTGGAAATGCCCAGTGGGAACGTGGGCAAAAGACATGAGCAGGGCGACCGGTTAGCTCAGTTGGTTAGAGTGCAGTGCTCATAACACCAAGGTTGCCGGTTCGATCCCCATGCCCTCCACAACTAGATTGAAACAACTACTTGGAGCTGATGGGCCCTGGAAAAACACACCGTTCCCCAATAAAAATAAATTAAAATCAAGCAGATTCAACCCAGAGGGAACCTGGGTGACCCATGCACACAGGAAAAGCTATTTAACCTCACTCAGTAAGAGAGATGCAGGTTCGAATGATACTGAGGTGCCGTTTTTCACCCATCAGCTTTTGAAAATTCCCAGTTTGATAGCACTGTAATTGACAAGGTTGCCAGGGGAATGAAGATGGGGGCAAGTGACCTGACAGGCTCGCAGGTGCTTTTACCCACTGGGCTCTGTGTTTTGTCCCTCCCTGTGCCACAGGATACAACAAGGTTGTTTGCTTACAACAGCAGAAGTTCGGGAACCACCCAGGTGTCCATCTCTAGGAGGCGATCTGCAGAGCTTTGACCACGCTATCAAACACTGCAGCTGTGTACAAAGCAAAGGTCATGGAAGTGTCCATGTGCTGATGTGGAAAGATGTCTATGGCCTGTTTTTAAGCAAAAAAAAAGCAACGTGCAGAACAGCATACATGCTTTGTCACCTTTTGGGGTGATGAGGAGGAGGAATACTGGCTTGTATTTACAAAAAAACACTGGTGAATCCCCAAGAAATGAGTAATCGTGGAAACCCAAAGGCAGAGACAAGTGGGGCGAGGGCACAGCCCCTGTGTATATCTTTTAGTGACAAAGAATAAAGATAAAAACAATACTTTGGGGAAAAGGAAATAGAAAGTACACAGAATTAAGCACTCACAGAGATGTCTTGTTGGAAAGAACAGGAAAATGGACGGAGACGTGGATGAAGGAAGAGGCTTCAAATTTTACTCCAATTCATTTGCATTGGTAACTGATGATTGGTAATGTGACTCAAGATAAAAATAAACCAAACGGGGAGGGGTAGGCGTCTCCCCAAGCAGCCAGATAGCTCAGTTGGTAAGAGCACTAGCCCTGAAAAACAGGGCTGCGGGTACGTTTCCCACATGGGCCAGTAAGCTGCGCCCTGTACAGCTAAGATTGTGAACAACGGCTCCACCTGGAGCTGGGCTGCGGGGAGTGGCCAGCAGTCAGTGTGAGAGTGGGCGTGAGCCGCGGCTGTGAGCAGCAACCACCTCAGCCAGGCAAGGTATACCAACTGGGCCAGTGAGTGGCGTCCTCCACAACTAGACTGAGAACAACGACTCGGAGGTGGGGGGAAGGAAAAACAAGGTCTCCCCACTTTTCCCATGCTCTAGGCACCAAGTTCCCTCCTTATAAGTGACCAAAATGTCCGCATTATCTATTTCTTGAACATCCTTCCAGGAATATGTTAGGCATATGCAAAGGTATATTTATGTGCATGTAATTTCCCATCTTTTTCCTCAAAAGGAGGGAGAACTATCACAGGCTTCTGCACTTTGTAACTTTCCCTTAATGTCTTAGGAGATGGCTCTGCGCCATCCACGCCTACAGAGTGCCTTCATTTCCGTGTCTCATAGTATCCCGTGCAACACAAGGAGCGTGTTTATCCAGTCCCCTGGGAGGGACACTGACACCTTTTCCAGTGCTTTCCCATATCGAACAACTCGCTAGCACTTCCCATGGAAGTCCTTTCACACATGTGCGAGCTTAGCCTCAGGACAAGTCCTGGAACTCCCGGGTCAAAGCATTTGTGCCTTTGTAATGTGGATGGCAGTTGTCAAGTGACCCTCCCAACCAGCTGTGTGCCAACTCAGACCCTGCCGGCGACGTATGACAGAGCTATTGCCCACAGCCTTGTAGGGTACACTCCTTGCACCCATCACCAGTTTCCACAGCTCTCTAGCCATCATTCCGGGCACATCTAGACCTTCATTTGTCCTTGTTCTCCCACAACTATTGTCATAATCTTTATAGTCCATGCACTGAAATGCACAAATCTTAGCTAAATTTTGACAAATGGCTACACCTACGTAGCACACCCTCTATAAAACTCAAGAAATGTCCACAAGTCCCAGAGTTCCTCGTGGCCTTCCCAGTCAGGGGTTCTCCCATGCACAGGAGCTCTGACAGATGTGTGCTCTCTGCCCTGACAGCGGTGACACCCCATTGTCATGTGTATGGCAGCTCCTTCCCTCGGTTGTTGCATGCTGTCCACTGCGTGAATCAGTGTGTCGATTCTGCAACTGCTGGACACTCGGGTTTCCAGTTTTTGGTCATGTGGACAAAGCCACTCTGAACATTGAGTGAGGTGCTTTTGTGGACTTGTTTCATTTCTCCTGGATGACACCTCGGAATGGAATCGTTGGGACAAATGATAGGTGTATACTTCCTAAGAAAATAGCCAGGGCCAGCCGAGGGGCGCGATGGTTAAGAGCTGGCTTGGGATGCCAGAGGGCCCCGGTTCGGATCCCACATATGAGGGCCAGTGACACTGCCCTCCACAGCTAAGATGCTGAACAACAGCTCAACCTGGAGCTGGGCTGCCAAGAGTCACCTGCGACGGCGTAGGCTGCAGTCCCTGTGGCAGTGGATTGCCATGGGCTACCGTATGTAGCCAGCAGCCAGCGTGAGCAGCCAGCAGCCGCCGTGAGCGGCCATCCAGAAGCCGGCGACTGATCTGCCTCACCCGGGAAGAGCACAATGATAATACCAACATGGACTAATGAAGCAACGTCCTCCACAACTAGACTGAAGAACAAAACGACACCAACTTGTCTGTTCCCCTGTCCCCAACTCCCCAGCGCTGTTCCCCTCCCCCAATTCCCCAATAAAATCTTTAAAAAAGAAAGAAACTGGCCACCCCTTTCCAACGTGGCAGGCCGTGTCTGAATTCCCACCAGTGCTTGGTATGTCCAGTTTTCGAAGTTCGGGGTGGCCGTGTCGTGGTATCGCACTGTGCCTCTCATTTGCGTCCCCACGACGATGGTGCTGAGCTGGTTTCCACGTCTGTCATACAACTTCCTTTGAGAAGTGTCCGTCAGACCTGCTGCCACGAACCACACATCTCACTGGTTGCTGTTTCTCTTTGTTTCAAGGGTGGGTTTCTTTCCAGTTTCTGCCTTTTACTCAATCCATGCCTTCAAATAGCTTTTTGAAAGCTATATATTTTTGTCCAGAATTTCTCATTGTTACCCATGGCAGGGGCAGGAGGGGGACCAACCTAGCCATGCCAGCATTCCCAGACATCGTGCCGTTTATTTGCATCTCTTTGGTTACATTATTGTGAGTGAGGCTACGCAGTCCCCGAGTGTCTTGCCCTTCCTTTCTCGTGGGCTGTGCAGTGAAGGGAATATCTGCATTCATCCAGGTTTGGGTTTTGCCAAGGAGTTTGGCAGGAAAAGAGGGCGGGGACTGGGGGCCTGGACAGGGGAGGGGGAGATGGTGGGAAGGTGGCCAGGTCAATGGATTCAAAACCACAAGGCCAAAGGGTGATTACCGAGAAGCTGCTTGACCAGGCCGACGGGAAATGGAGCTTGTGCCGCATGAGGGAGTCTGAACTTCAGTCTCCAGAATGGGTGCTGCCACTGGCCATGCCTGAGAGCCGGGAGTGGGGGCTGAGGGGATGGAGGGTGCTGAACACATGGCAGGGGGCGGGCGAGTTTTCCTGCAGATGTGGATGGAGGGCCTTGGCCTCGGCCTGGAGGGGGAGTGAAGGAGGCAGCGTCTGGAGCTAGAGCCTCTGAGAACAGGGGAGGAAGGCAGGGGTCCCCCCAGGGCTGAGCCTCAAGAGAGCTGGGATTTTGTGATAGGGACCTGGCAGAGATGTCCCCACCTCCCTTCCTGGTCCTAGTGGGGGGAGGGGAGGCAGATGGAAAAAACAGCTTGACTGTGACACTGCAGGGGAAGCAGAGTCTGGGAGGGACAGCCAGGTGGGACACAGCGCACGGCATTCTGGGAAGAGTGTGCCCTAAGACAAAATGTCCATCTCATGCAGAAAGCCAGCAGTGGGGCGCAGTGGGCGAGGATGTGAGGTTCGGGTGATGATGGGCCAGGCAGGGTGCGGGCAGAACGGGATGAGGCCTGGGGGCCCTGAGGAGGGTCCCCTGAGCTGTGGTTCTGAATGCCAGGTGGCCTGGTGGCATCAGCTGTGCCCAACTGCCCATGAGTTGGCCAGCACATGGAGGGTGAAAATGGGAATGTTAACAAACTTCACAGAGAAAACTGCAGGAGGCTCAGGTTTGGGCAGAGCCAGGCTGGACCTGGGCCTCCCAGCTCCCAGGCCAGGGTCCTGTGGCCTCCCTGCGCCTCTGAAACACCAGTGTCTCCCCAAATTCGTATGCTCAAGTCCTAACCCCCGGGACCTCAAAATGTGGCTGCATTTGGAAGAGGGTCTTTACAGAGGTGATCGAGGTAAAATGCAGTCATGGGGTGGCCCCAGTCCAGGCCGAGTGTGTCCTCCGAAGAGCTCAGGACAGAGCCAGGCACAGAGGGACGGCCATGTGAGGACTTGGAGGAAAGGCCCGTCCACACACCCAGGGGCGAGGCCTCAGGAGGAACCAGCCCTGCAGGCCCCTGACCTGGGGCTTCTGGCCTCCAGGACTGGAGAGAATTCGTTTCTGCTGTTCCAGCCGCCCAGGTGTGGAGCCGTGATATGGCCCCTGGAGCAAACAAATACAACCATTAAAGAAATACAGTGTGGGGGCCGGCCGAGTGGCTCAGTTGGCTTGGGGGTGTGAGCTCTGGGCAGCAGGACCCCAATTCGGATCCCACATGAGGGCCAGTGACACTGCCCTCTACAGCTAAGATGGTGACCAACAGCTCGACCTGGAGCTGGGCTGCCATGAGTCGCCAGCGACGGCATAGGCTGCAGTGGGGCTGCTGTGGGCTGCCGTGAGTGGGCGGCAGCTAGTGTGGGTGGCTGGCAGCCTGTGTGAGCTGCCCTGGGCCGCTGTGGGTGGCCGTCCAATGGCCGGCGACTGATCTGCCTCAGCCAGGAGTGCAATGGTCACAATAGCAACACGGGCCAGTGGGGCAACGTCCTCCACAACTAGACTGAAGAACAAAAGGACGGCAGCTTGTCTGTTCCCTTCCCTGATTACCCAATGTTGTTCCCTCCCCCAATTCCCCAATAAAATCTTTAAAATAAAAAGAAATACAGTGTGATATGGTGACTTATAATAAATACATATCGGGTCTTCATTCCCATTCCTGGCCCAGGCCACCCAAACCCTTGGGATTTCTGGTGATGAGAGTGGCAAAGGTGTCTTCTGTTATGTGAATGAGGTGACTTGGAAAGACCCAAGGTCCCCCCAAGGATGGGGCTGGTTGCCAGGGGCGCCAACCCTGTGATTAGAGGGTTGGAACTTTCAGCCCCTCCGCCAACCTCCAGGAAGGGGAGAGGGCCTGGAGGTGGAATGGATCGCCAATGGCCAATCAGCTAATCATCCGTGCCCGTGTCCTGAAGCCTCCATAAAGACCAGAAAGACGGGCTTCTGGGAGCTTCCAGGCTGGTGGACACGTGGAGATGGGGGAAAGAGCCCCTCCCGCTGCCCACAACTGGCCAGATCCGTCTCCACCGGGCTGTTCCTGAGGCCTCCCCCAGTGACCTGGTGCGTGAACTGTCTCCCGAGGTCTGTGAGCTGTTCTAGCAAATGAATCAGACACGGCAGGGGTCATGGGACCCTCCCACCTATAGTCCGTCAGTTACCTGGTCAGAAGCACAGGTGACCGCCTGGACGTGCGACTGGCGTCCGCAGTGGGGGACAGGGAGTCCTGTAGGACTGGGCCTTGACCTGTGGGATGTGACGCCATTTCTGGGGTGATAGTGTCAGAATCGAGCCAAATTGTAGGACACCCTGCTAGTGTCAGAATTGCTTGTTGGGTGTGTGGGGACCCCCATCTCCACCCCCTACACACACACAGTGGAATTGGGTCCAGAACCTGAGTTGAGCTTCTCTTCACACAGACTTTTATGTCCACACTGGTGAAAACAGCTGTTTCGGTCCAGCTTGGGGAGTTGAGTCCCCGCTCCCTCAGATCCCCCCCGCCCCCCGCATCCTACTCCCTTCCACTGACTTCTCTGCGGGGCTACCTGGGGTGGGTGGCTGTGCCAGACACTCAGCTGGCCTCTCTGAACCACCCCCAGCCCCCAGAAGTTCCGGAGGCAGCATTTTCTGCCACTCCTGGCTGCGAAGTCTGGGACCACCCCAGCCCTCCAGCCAGCGGCCCCCAGGCTCCTCCACTGCCACCAGGGTGCACTCCTCCGCAGGGGGCTGGGCCAGTGACAGCTGCAGGAGCTGCGGGAGGATAGTGCCCTGGCAGGCGGCTACCAGAGGAGGCCCAGGACCCAACAGCAACGCTGCTCAGGCTGCTGGCACCCACGACCCAGCCAGGCCAGCACCAAAGCCCTGGGAACGGCCCCGGGGAGCTGGGCCCCTGACATGCTCACCGTCCGCAGCAGCACTGCCTCTGTGCTCACTGGGCATCACCCCTCACCCGGAACCCCGTCTGCCATTGTCCCCACTTGACACGTGAGAACACTGAGGTGGAAGAGAGACAGACGTGACATGAGGACAAGGACAAGGGCTGGTGACTGGGACAGGGACCAGGTGGCCCCCTCTCCTCACTGGGTGGGTGGGCCAGGCAGGTCCCTTTCCCTCCATACACACACATTTCCTTCTGCGCATGGTGGGGCTGGAGGGGCTGGGGGCTGAGAAACACCTTGAACCTTGAGGGCTGCAGGGGAGGTAGAAGGAGACAGTGGCGTCTCCACCCAGGCCTCAGTTACAGCCAATCTGGCACGAGGCCCTCAGCTTGGGGACGGCCTCGGCTTAGGGCTCAGTCTCCTCGGGGGGGGGGGGGGGTGCCACAGCTCCAAGGCAGCAGTGGAGGTGACCATGGAGGAGGGGAGGGGGAAGCACAGTGATGACAATGACAGTGTCAGCGCAGGGTCTGGGCTTAGAAGGGAACAAGGAGGGGATTGAGGTGGGAAGAGAAGCCCGGAGGAAGTGGGGGAGGCAGGCCTGCAGCCATCTTTGCGCCGTGAGACACCCTAAGGCTCCTTGGGTGTCGGGGTGAAACTCCCTCCCATGGCAGGCTGTGGCGCCACTTGTGAATTCAGGGGCGGGTGTGGGCAGCTGGCTGACCCCAGGGCGAGGGGCAGAGCATGTGGGGGAGGCCAGGGGCTGCCAGCCCTGTGGTGGCCCACCCCTCCCTGCTTCCCAGCCCCCAGCCTCACACACCGCCCGACCTCTCAGCCTGTCTTGCCACCTTTGCGGCGGCCCTCAGCCTGGACTGCCATTCCTGTGCTGCACCCTGAGGCTCCTGAGAGCCCACCCTGCCGGGACCTTTGGGAGCCCTCCGGCCTGGTCTGACCCGGCTCCCTGGGGGCTCCCTTGCATGCCGGGAGGGCAGGTCTGACAGCACGGGGGCCAGGCCAGCACTGCCAGGCAGCGGCCAGGGTTCCTGAAGTTGGGGGAGGAAGTCCTGGGTTTGCTACCAGCTGACTTTGGGCTGGAGTCAGGCCCTTCCAGGTGCCTCAGTTTACCATACAGACAAGGGGTGAGGCTGAATGGCTTCCAGGGAGGGTTCTAGGAGGGTCACCCTGCTCAGGAACCCGGGAACGGGGCTCCGGTCGGGAACGGGCTCCGGTCGTGAGCTGAGTGTGAGCACAGCTTGGTAGAGCTGGACAGGCGGGATGGGCCCCGGAAGCCCCCTCCCAGGGCAGCCCCTCCCTTCAAGGGCATCTCCACCCTCGCCTGGTTGGCATGGCAACAGCCTCCTTCCAGTTCTGAGAAGGCAGGGTTGAGCATGAGCCCAGCTGGGAACAAGACAGGGCCTCCCTGCAGGACAGCGGCTCTGTGGAAGGCAGGCTGGATGAGGGAGGTGCCAGGCACCGCTTCCCAGAAGCACAGACTTGCATTTGAGGTCTGGACTCGGAAGACCTTAAAGATCAGCCCTTCAAGGGTCAGATCAGCTCAGCCCAATGACCCCTAAGGATGCTTGACAAGCACGGTCCTCCCACCCTGCCTCAGCTCTGCCCCTTTTGGAGGGTGCTTTGGCCAGGGCTGGGCTCGGGGCACACATGGGCTCTGCCCGTTGCCCTTCCTCAGGCCTTCTAGAGGTCAGGCAGGCCCACAGGTGCGAGTGGAGGCAGAAAGCCTCGGCTGCCTTTCGCCCAAACCCAGGCCTCTGAGGGAGCTGGGGGACAAATGAGGTGTGGAGGGAGGGGGCAGGGCAGATGGGGGGGGCAGGGGATTCGGGGTGGCTTCTGGAAGGCGGGAGCACAGGAGGACCCAGAACCACAGGCTCAGGAGGCCTCAGACCCAAGCCCCAGGGCTCATGGCTGCTTAGCAAGGTCCCCTTCCCCCCCTGGGGCAAGAAGCCACAAGGCCTCCTTCTTGGTGCCAGCCTGCATCCTGCCCCCCAACACAAACCTGCCTCCCTGGGACACTCCTCTCCCAAACTCAGGGTAGGGTGGGGGGCAACATGGGGAAAGAGGGTGTGCCAGCAGTCCGCAGCCCTGCCCCAGCCCACTCCCTCATGGGCACGGCTGGTGGTGGCATCTGGGACAGGGCTCCCAGAATACCCACCCAACGCCCACCAGCCCAGCCCAGCAGTGCCCACTGTCCCCACACACGCTCTCCCCAGGAATCATCGGGCCATCTCCACATGGGGTGGGATTTATTCACCACTGTCACCATGAAGACGACGATGTGAACACAGAGAAACAGCACTGAATCCAGGCTGCCTCAGTAGACGGCTGTATGCACACAAAACCTCCCACCAACAGCGAGTGTGAACAACTGACTGCCCAGGTCACCTCCTCCCCCTCCACCCCCCCGCCCCCACTCAGGGGCGGGAGGCTGGGTGGGCCCTGGAGAACCCCACACAGCAGGCACCACCCACAATGTGTCTACACACGCCTCTTCTACTTGATCCCACACAATTAGTGTCTTAAATATATATATATATGTGTATATATATATATATAGATAGATAGATATACACATATATATGTATATGTTTCATCTGAACTGTGTCGGTTATCAAATTAAAAACTGACCACTTCTCTTCACATGAACTTCACAGTAACGACTAGCACAAAACAATGAATCCAGTGTTGATAACTAAGGCCCATTTCCTGCCCCAGGAAAGTACTTTTCTTCCCCTACGGAAACCCCTGGGGAAAACCAGGGCCGCCGCCACATCCCGGGCTGCCCATCGCTGCCCTGCCCTTTGTGGGATGCACACGGGCACACGCATGCACGCACACGAGGACACCCGATCACAGAGCACGTCTTGCAGAGCAGGAAGTCCCATGGCCCTTCTGGAGGTGGGGCCGGGGCAGGACAATCGGAAGCAGGGGTGCCCTTCACCCAGCTCTCTCTGGTCTGCAGTGAGTCCAGGGCCTCCGAGCCCCCAAGTATCGGACAGGCTGCCCACCCACATACAGGGAGGGAGAGCCGAGGAGATGCACCCACCTGTCCACCTGCTGGAAAGTCCTTTCACTCGAGACCAGGCAGGTGAATAAATACGACATCAAGTGTTGTCAGGAGAAGGGAAAATAACTTAAACTTGGCTGGACTCTGTCCTCAGCACCTTGTGGTCTGGGAAAAGCAGGAGTCCAGGCGGCTCTACCACCTGCAGAACCCCAGAACTTGGGGCAGCCCCTGCTCTGTCTACCCCTTGCCACAACCACTGAGGTTCTGGCAGCAAGATTTGCTCAGTGAGTAGGTCGGTTAGGCAGCGTAGCCCCAGCCAACCGCAAACGCAGTGCCTTTCACATTCTAGGAGCTGCAGCCTCCCAAGGCTGTGGGTGAAGGTGAGCGGCCGTGGCCCCCGCCCAGAGGCCAGCTGCCCTCTCCCCTGACTTCTGCCTGTGCAATGGCCACTTTCACCCACGCCCCACTGCAGGGAAGAGAAACCCTACAAGCACCACTCCTGGCAGAAGGACAGCCTCTGGCCCCTGCTCAGCTCTGGAAATGACCAGCAGTTCCGGGGATGGACGAGTGACCTTCAGAGTCAGGCCCACTGAGGCCCAGCAGCGGCCTGTGACACTCAGGGTGCAGGGCTGCATTCCCGCCACCTGTGCCTCCCCCACCCCCGCCCCGGGGGTGCTCAGAGGCACCCCGGCCCCTGTGCTCAGGCAGGGAGGCGGCACGGCCCATCACCCACGGGCAGACATCTGGCAACCTCGGGAGGCTTGGCATCTAAAGAGAATCATCTCCAAATACCAACTTTCTCTGCCTGGAGTTACAGTGCGGGCAGGACCACAGCTGCCTCCTACCGAAGCACCTGCAGCTCCACAGCCACTCGGCTTTTGGCCGCTTCTGCTCCTGCCACCCTGGGGTCCCCCCTAGGGCCTGTACCCCCTGCCACACCAGCTGTGCCCAGTGGCGCCGGCTGTGCCTGGGGCCTCCCCTGCAGGGCATTCTGCTGCCACCACCAGGAGTGGCCTGTTCTGTGGATCAGCCTGTCCCCGTTCAGGGCCTCACACCCAGAAGTGTGATCCGTGTGGCCTTCACCGAGTGGGGCCAGGCTCACAAACATGCCAGTGAGGTCAGGGAGGCCCCAGGAGGAAGGACACACTGGCTGCCCCACACCAAGGTGCTTGGGCCAACCTTGGGGGCCCTTGAGGCAGCCCTGAAGCTGGCAGGAGAGGAAGACAGTGTCACAGTCTGGGCACCACCAGGCCCGAGTGAGTTGGAGGGTGGGGGAGGGGGGAAGGCATGGAGGAGGGCTGCAGAGGTCACTCTGAGTCTGAGGCCACTGGGCCAGGTCCAGGCGGCAGCAAGGCTGTTTCTGCTGGGAGGGTCCAGCTCCATGTCCCTCGCCTCACCGGGGAGGTCTGCCCCCCACCCCCCCG